AGCAACCTAATAGGACAGAGTAGAACTACCCCATAGGGTTTCCAGGGCTGTAGATCTTTATGGAAGCAGACTGCCTCATTTTTCTTTGGCAGAGCAGCTGATGGGTTCAAACTGCTGACCTTTTGGTTAGCAACCCAAAGCTTTAACTCCTATAACTCCTATGCCACCAGAGTTCCTTACCTTCATACAGACTTTGTCCTTTCATTCATAAGATTTCTGGCCTGAAACACAAGTAATATTTTCCATATTTCAAATTAGTTGAAAACAAGAAAACTGTAATTATAATTTGATTTGATGTTGGAATAAATGAGTTGGCAGGTTTTAATCACACATGGCCAATTCAGTGGATTCACTGATGTCTCAAATTCAAGAGAATTCAATCTATATATCCAGGAGGAAAAAAAAAAACAAAACAGCAGTTAAAAATAACAGCACAATTACCCTTAACTTTAGACATCCAGACATACTGTCACATGAGATAAATACCTATACAAAAATGAGGGTGTTGACTTGGACAGAAATGGAAGGACTCTTTGAACATGGAGAAGCACAAACGTATTCCCAAGAGCAAAGGATTGATATGACGAATCCTAATGAAACTATAAAACAAAGCAATTTCCAAACTGCTCTCATAATGAATCATAAATATTTTAATGTGCACCAATCAAAGGACCACTGAGGAACAAATTTAAACAAAAACAAGGAAGATATGTCAAGAATTTTATAAACAGCAGCCAGCCGAGATATATAAAAGGCCCCATGGGGAAGTCACCATCAAACTCAAGAAACTTCTCCAAGCAACTCATCTCTCAACCCAACTCCTGACACCATGGCCTGCTGCTCCACCAGCTTCTGTGGCTTTCCCAGCTGCTCCACCTGTGGGACCTGTGGCTCCAGCTGCTGCCAGCCAAGCTGCTGTGAGACCAGCTGCTTCCAGCCCGCCTCCTGCCAAACCAGCTGCTGTGAACCCACCCCCTGCCAAACCAGCTGCTGTGAACCCACCCCCTGCCAAACCAGCTGCTGCGAGCCTACCTGCTGCCAAACCAGCTGCTGTGGGACTGGCAGTGGCATCAGCTATGGCCAAGAGGGTGGCCATGGAGCTATGACCTGCCGTGTCAGGTGGTCCCGCCCAGACTGCCGTGTGGAGGGCACCAGCCTGCCCCCCTGCTGCGTGGCAAGCTGCATCCCCCCAACCTGCTGCCAGCTGCACCATGCCCAGGCCTCCTGCTGCCGCCCATCCTACTGTGGACAGTCCTGCTGCCGCCCAGCCTGCTGCTGCTCCTGCTGCCAGCCCACCTGCTGTGAGCCCACCTGCTAAATGCCAGGTTGCTGATTTTCAATCTGCCCGGGACACAGTATCTCTGAACCGATCATCTCCTCAACCACCTCTGGACCACTAACAAGTTTTTAGACTTCTGTTTGTTTTTGTTGCTGTGGCATCAACCAAGTATATGAGCCTCACAATTCTACCTGATTCCATCCTGCAATGAATACCTTGACCTTCTTCTGCAGACACAGAAATGATGCATATCCACTTGCTGATTATCATGTTGCTTTGGCTCTAGTATTTCTGATTTGCCTGTAGGATTGAAAACCACTGCCATGTTGTGGAATTTATTCTTGAGAACTGTCTACAAGGCTACTTTTTGCTTCTTTGTGATCCACTTTTAGTTTCTATTTACCTACATTTTTCTTTTCCCCAACACCAAAGGCACCAGAATTCAACTAAGGAAATTCATTCCTCAGATGTCACCATGGAGAACAGAAGCTATTCATCCAACAACCAGCTTCTAACAAGTAGTCTTGACTTTTCCATATTTCAACATCTTATTTCATCCCTTGGATCATAATCATCTTGCCTCTTGCTTGTTTCCATGATATCTGTGTCATTTCCTAATAAATGTTATGTATTGGGCAAAGAAATCATAGTCTGTGTTTTGACTTGTACATAAAGTAGACTACTTGCTTATAATTCAAGAATATCTACTTGAAGTTCATCTGTTTCTGTTATTAAGAGACTGAAGATACATACAATGCATTCATTTATTCACCAATAAAAAATTTAGTGACCACCCACCTCTAAGTAAGGGACTATGGAGATCAGAAAGATGAAGAAATAATTCTTTTTCTTGAGGAGCTTAGTATCAAGAAAGAAAATAATACATGTGTGAAAATAATATAAAATGTGATGAGATAAATTGCATTATCTTAGCAGTTAGTAAAAGAATTCCTCTTAGAGGGACAGATGTTTTCAGGTCAATATGCCTTAATAGACCAACTTGTTGAAGGTTAATCCTCATGGGACATGCATATTGGTAGCCCTAAAAGAATTATGAGAAGAATGTGCAACAATTATATATGGGGTAAAATAGATCTATTTTTACTTTAGAAAGGAAGTAGGGAGAAAAGACAAGAGATCTAGTCCAAACCAAAAAAACAAACTCACTGCCGTCAAGTCAGATCCGACTCATACCAACCCCTCCTTGGGTTTCCAAAGCGGAATCACTACAGAAGTAGATTGCCCAACCTTCCTTCTGAGGAGCAGCTGGTGGGTTTGAACTGCCAGCCTTCTGGTTAGCAGTCAAATGCCTTAGGCACTATGCCACCAGAGCTCCCAGAGAGCTAGTCAGGAGGCCAGAATTGTTTCCATATAACCTTCTTGTCCCCCAGCCCCCATTAAGTTATCAAATGTACAAAATCCTTTGGAGGAGTGACCTTTCTTGTGAAAAACTAGTGAAGGGCTGAGTTTCATGTTTGGTTTTATTCAAGAGAGAACAGAGCAAGCCCAGAAGCCAGACAGAGCAAGAAGCACAAGATAATAATTCCTTAAGAACTTGAAGAAATTATAAGGATACTTTGCATTGCTACTGGCTGTGCAAAGTAACATGCAAAGAGCAAAACTGAAAGAAAAAGACAGAAGTCAATCAACACAAGTTCAAAAGGAAGACACCACTTCAGGATCAGCAGGGCCTGTGTGGTAGGAGCAGGATCAGAGAAGGCTTCACAAGGGAGGTAATTTTTGAGGCAGATCTTGAAGATCATTCTAAGTGGAAGGAAGAGAGTGAGTGTAAAAGAACCCAATAGACCACAAAGACTTTTGTGTCCTCTCTACCTATCAGCTATGGATAATCTTGGGAAAACATACCTGAATTGATATGGATTAAGATATACCAATAAAATTTTGCTGATTCGAATCAATGTTTAAACATTCCATAACCCATTGTCCTAACAACTAAGCATGGTACAAGGTCTTCCTTCAGTCTTGACTCAATAACTGTCCTGGCAAGGAGGATAAAAAAGTGAATACTCCACCTTCTCAGTCTCCATAAAAGAGCAGAAAGAGAGAAGGTAGTTGGGAGTGAATGTCAACATATACCATACTTGAATATTTTATTTCAACATACTTCCTAAATAAACCAAAATGCTGCCAGTTTTTAGAGAGGAACAAGAGCAAGAGAAGGTTCTGAAGAAAAGTCTGAGCTACAATACAAGCTGCCCTTCCATTTGAGCCTTACAACCCAGGAGATCTAGTGATATTTGAAGTGTCTATGGAAAATATGGCCTGGAAAGGAAGGAACTCTGGCAGCACAGTGCCTAAGGTATTGTATTTCTAGCCAGAAGTTTGGTGGTTCAAACCCACCAGTCACTCTGTGAAAGGAAGACTGGGCAATCTACTTCAGTAAAGATTTACTGCCTCAGAAACCCAATGGGGGTTGCTATGTGTCAGGAATGACTTGATGGAAATGGGTTTGGTTTTAATGGGTTATGGAAAATATGGCTGCTGTATGGAGTCTCTAACAAGTGCCAGTAAAGGAATTACAAGGAAAATCTATGAGGTTTTGGGTAAAATCAATGTCCTCTCTTGAACGTAACTACTCTTAGCTTGCTAGTGGGCCGTGGAAGAGACTAAATGACCATACAACCTGAGCTTCTTATCATGAACTAGGTGTTATCTAGACCACCATGTCATAAGGTTGGGTGTGTACAGGAATAATCTACTAAAAAGCAGAAATGGTATAAGGGAAAAAAGGCCCAAGCATATCTAAAAGGCACAAGTAAATCAAATAAGCAAACTCTTTTGACTAGCCCCTGCTACACTCTCCAATATTTTACTTCATGGGTAATACCTCATGACCAGTTTGTTGAGAAGAAAAAATACCTGGTTTATAGATAGTTCTGAATAATAAATGGGTTTCCAAGGCAATACCACTACAGAAGTAGATCACCCAATCTTACTTCCAAGGAGTGGCTGGTAGGTTTGAAGTCAAATGCCTTAGGCAGAAGAGGATCCGGCAAGATGGCGGACTAGGCAGAAAGATTGGACAGACCCTCTTCAACAAAGAAAAGGGAAACCAATTAACACAGGCACAGACAATAATCCTGGACCCCTGAGCCTTGAAGGGAAGGATATAGAAGTGGACTAAACCCCAACTAGCAGAAGAATTTGTGTGAAAATACCAAAAAAGGAGACAGATGGAGCTGCGGTCTGGCAGTGATCCTTAGTGATCCTGATGGCACAGACAGCTTGGAGATTCCTGAGTGGTGGTA